GTGTGTGTGTGTGTGTGTGTGTGTGTGTGTGTGTGTGTGTGTGTGTGTTGTTTTTGTTTTCCCTTTTTTCCAGGCAGTGTCTCATGTAACCCAGGGAATCCTTGAAGTTTCTATGTAGTCAAGGGCGATCTTGAACTCCAATCCTGTGTCTACCTCCTGAGTGCTTGAATTACAGGTATCGCACTCCTATGTCAGGTTCTAGCAGTATCCCTTTTAAAATGCAATATGTAATATCAATTGTAATATTACATACAACACATAAACTGGTAACTAACAGTTACATATAAATACTGTTACAAATAACAGTTACATATAAATAAATACATTGTTCTGCTTATTTGATGTGAAACTCCATGTAGACAACTTAAAAACGGCACAGGTATTTCAGGTTGCTGCTAAATATTTCTGCCTCAATCTGTCCCCTCTCAGTTTGAAAAGGAGATTATGAATTGGCGTCCTATTTTAATCTAATTTAAGTAATAAGATGGCTTTTAATAGGCACAAAATGGAACAAGTGCATATTTATGCGTGTGTACAAAGTACAAGTATTTTAACGTCTTAATTATTATTATTTTATGTGTATGGGTCTTCTGCATACATGTATTCTGTACGCCATGTGCATATTTGGGGCCCATGGAGATCAGAAGCAGATATCAGATTCCCAGTAGCTGGAGTTACAGATGGTTGCAAACCACCTTACGGATGCCGGGAATTGAACCTGTGTCCTCTGGAAGGACAGCTGCCACTCCGAACAACTGAGCCATATTTCCAGCCCAGGTAAAAGGATTTTAAAAAGTTGTGTTAGGTCATCTTCTTGACTTCTCACAGCCCTATCTCAGAGACCTGTTGCTCTACTCTGCTGGAGAGCAAGATGCCTTCAGAAAATGCAAAAATTGGGCCCCCTGCCCCCAACTTCAAAGCCACAGCTGTTATACCAGATGGACAAATCAAAGATACCAGCCTAAGTGAATACAGAGGAAAAATATTTTGTGTTCTTCTTTGGCTATCTTGATTTTACTTTGTTTGCCCTGCAGAGATCATTGCTTTCAGTGATAGAGCAGAAGAATTTAAGAAACTCAATTGCCAAGCGATTGGAGCTTCTGTGCATTCATACTTCGGTCATCTGGCATGGTTCAGCACACCCAAGAAACAAGGAGGATTAGGACCTATGAACATTCCCTTGGTATCAGATTCCAAGCATACCATTGCTCAGGATTATGGAGTCTTGAAGGCTGATGAAGGTATCTCTTTCAGGGGCCTCTTTATTATTGATGATAAAGGTATCCTTCCCCAGAGCACCATAAATGATCTTCCTGTTGGCTGCTCTGTGGATGAGATTCTGAGACTAGTCCAGGCCTTCCAGTTCACTGACAAACATGGTGAACTGTGTCCAGCTGGCTGGAAACCTGGCAGTGACACCATCAAGCCTGATGTCCAAAAGAGCAAAGAAAATTTCTCTATGCAGAAGTGAGCACTGGACCATTTTTCTGCCAGGCAGCATTGAGAAGGCAGAAGAGAGTCTCTTGTACTCTACTAATGCTTAAACACAAATGTAGTTTGATTCAAGAAATGCCATTCCTACAGGGCTGGGGGTGGTTAGCCTTTCTTTCACTATTGGGAATGACCTGCGGTCTGTTTGGGGCAGACCATCTGATATACCAGCCACAGAAATCAGACTGTTATCCTTTTTATTTTTAAGTGTCTGTTAAACGTGAACTCTGAGAAAATAAAATTGTTTTACATGCCGAGATTGGTGTCACATGTCAGCATTTAAGAGGCAGAGACAGGAGGCTCAAGAGGTCAAGGCCATTCTTGTCTACATACTAACTATGAGATAAACCTGAGCTGCATGAGACCTTGTCTCAGAAAAGAAAAGAAAAAAGAAAAGAAAAAAAAAGAAATTATTTTGCTTCAAAGTTATTTCTCAACGCATCACTATAGCATAGGCTTCAAACAAAAATTACAAAAGAAATTCTGTTCTGTTCTACTAAGGACTTTCTGCCAATATGTAGCTTCAACAGAGTTGTTGCTATAGTAATGCAAAAGGGATAAACACTGAATTGTGCTATCAACCTGCCACTGAAATAGGGCGGTATTAAGGCCTTTGTTCAGTAATTCTGACTCTAAGTATTTTTACTGCATGTCCTCTAAATTGAGGTCCCAAATAATGATATCTTTTAATGCTAGAAAGAAAATAGTATATGTAAATGAAAAAAATATAGCAGGAAGTCTAGGTTAGAAAGTCAGGAAATGCTGAGAACATTTGCTTTATAGCAAAGCAGTAAACATTAATGAACAATGGGTTCACACGGTGCCAGTTACCTTCCTTCATTTAGTACAAACCCCCACTGTATAAATGAAAGCAGCCTGAGTTTCCTCCATGAGAGCCACAGATGCTTTGACTCACAAGAGTGACCGCTTCTCCAGGTTCCTACATGCCTTTCAGTTACTTTGCCAAAGAGCTTATCCTGAAATACTGCTCTCTGGCAGCATTCGGGTGATGTAAACCTCTATGTTTATTAGAAGAGAATCATAGGACAAGTCTCTTTCAAGAGTTTGGCTCTGCATCGGCTTGTTTGGCACTAGACCTTGAAGCTTGCATTGCTAACAAAGCATCTGGTAAATGTGAAGGTGAGTATTAAACTCTTGTCACGTTTGATCTTGCCAATTAGGTTTTATAAGACAGAGAAAGGTCTATCAGCCAACTTAGAGATTATAGTTTTAGGGAGACGTTACTTTAGAAGACTGATGCTGCCTGTAGCATTAGAGCAATAACCTTGTTTTGAAACATGATTCTAATATACCCGTTGATGTTACAATGCTTCACTTCTGGTTGGTGATGTTATCAATCAGCTAAAGAACCAACAAGGTTGGATGATGCTGTAGCTTGGGCCCTAACTGTCCCCGCAGGGCTCATCTGTTAAGCTTTAGTCAGGAATGGCAGTGTTGGGGGGGACCTTAGGAACCCCTTAACTCAGGTAAATGGACAAGAGGTCTTCAGAGCACTAGGGGCATGTACTTGAAGGAGACTGTTGTTCCCTTGGCCCTGTACCCTTTCTTTTTAGCTTTCTAGCCATGAGGTGACCAGTTTCAACCTAGTTTATGCTTTTTACCATGTTCTGCTGCCTTGCCATGGACCCAAAAGCCATATGGTCAGTGAACCATTGACTGAAAACTTCAATATGTAACTGTAACGTTTCTCTCCAGTATTTGTTATACTAGCAAAAATCTAGCTAAAACATAGAGAGAAAGAAAAGACAGAGATAGAAGTAGACAGGGAGTTGAAGAAAGAGAATTTATAGAATATGTTGTACTGGGTCTCTACAACTTCCTCCTTCATGGTAAATACTCTATGATGTGATGGCAACAATCCCCCCTCTGTGTGTGTCTGTGTGTTTGTGTGTGGTGTCTAAGTGTGAGCGCTCACGTGCATATGTATGTGTGCAGATATGTTCACCCATCCATGTATGGTAGAGCCCAGAGGTTGACATTAAGATGTCTTCCCCTTCTTGTCTGGTTGTCTCCTCCCACCTCTTTTTGAAGCAGGGTCTTTCACTGAACTTGGAACTCATTGTAGACACAATGAGTTCTAGAGTGTCTGAGTTCCAGACTGACTGATCAACAAGCCCGTAGGATCTACCTGACTCTGCCTCCCAGCATTACAAAGTGCTCAGCATCCAAACCCAGGTGCTCATGGTGACATAATGAGCACTCTGCTCACTAAGCTAGCTCCCCAGTCTCAAGTTTTCCATGTTTATGTTTTATCAAGAGTATAGTCAGTATTGTGTCTAAATTAGTATCTCAAGTAAGCCAGGTTTTCATGTTCAATTTGAAGACGTGGAAGAGCTTGAGTCATGGCATTGGGTAAGCAAAGTCTTGATCTTAGTCAAGATTTAATGCTTTTGACAGTTTGCGTTGCCATCCATATAATTAAAAAATATATAATCTTTTAATATATATATATAATACAATAATCTAAATGTTACATGGATCCTACATTGAAATTATCTTCATAAATGACAGCAAATACTTTCAGTTTTAAAATTTCATAAGCACAGTTCTATTTGGCTTCTTTGCAATATCTGGCTCTATTCATAATTCTTTAAAGTGTTTTCTTATTTGGTTTTATATTCTATCTTTTTATGGTATTTTCATCCATTCTAGCTGCTAATTACTATGCTTTTCTCCTGGATTTGACTCTCCCTGATATTTTTATTCTATCTTATTATGTTTATATGTATGGATGTTTGCCTGCATGTATGTTAATGTAGCATATCTGTGACAAGTGCCCACAAAGTCCAGAGAGGGCAACATATCCTCCAGATCTGGAATTAGAGACAGGAGTGAACTGCCACGTGAACTGGAAACTAAACCAAGGTCCTCTGGAGGAACAGCCAGTGCTCTTAACAACTAAACCACCATGGTATTAACTAGTTTAATTGTGTGACCGTCTCCCTCAAAATTATCTTTTTAATTTTTTAATATACTCTCCGTCCACATGGCTTCAATTATCCCTTCTCTATTGATAGTTGATGGGTGTCTCATCTCCAAGCATTTGCCCCATGCTTCTAGACTTTGTGTCGCTTTGCCCTGATGAACAACTTCACTGCATTGTTCTGCCATCCCACCTTTTCAACCACATTAATCTAAGACATAACTCTAGAATATCCCAGAGTCCTTCTTAACCATTCTGCTCACATATCAGTTGAATATGGCTTGTTGTTCTTATAGCCATTCTTTTTATTTGTGTCCGTGCTTTAATGAAAAGTCTCACATTTTGATGGAACACCTTCTGTACTATTTTTTAAAGTACATGTTATAAAAAGAAAGATCAGGAGGGAAAGAAAAAGTGAAGGAAGAGGGAAAGGAGGACAAGGAGGATGAGAAGGAGAAGAAGAATTTTGTAAATGTGCCACAATTTCTGTATCCATTCTTCCATTGAGGGACATCTAGGTTGTTTCTGGATTCTGGGTGTTATGAATAATGCTGCTATGAACATAATTAAGCATATGTCCTTGTTGAATGGGTGGAGAATCTTTTTGGGTACACTACCCAGCTATTAAAAACAAGGAAATCGTGAAATTTGCAGACAAATGGATGGAACTAGAAAAGATCATCTTGAATGAGGTAACCCAGAAACAGAAAGCTACACATGATATATACTCATTTATATGCGGATATTAACTATATAATATAGGATAAACATGTTAAAATCTACAGACCTAAAAAAGCTAAACAACAAGACTCTAGGGAATATGCTTAATTCTCATTAGGCAAACAGGATAGACCCAGAAGTGGGGGAAGAGAAGGAACAGGACAAGGGCCTACCATAGATGTCCTCTGAAAGATTCCACCCAAGAGGGGAGTGAAGAAGATGCAGAAACTCACAGCTAAACTTTGGCAGAGTGCAGGGAGTCTTATGGGAGAAGGGGGCAAGATGATAGAAGGACACAAAGCAAAGGAGACTAACAAAGCCAAAAATTCTGGGCCCAGTGGGGCCTCAGGAGACTAATGCTCCAACCAAGGACCATGCATGGAGAGGACCTAGACCCCTGTTCAGATGTAGCCCATAGGCAATTCCGTCTCATGTGGGTACCCAAGTTACGGGAGCAGTGTTCATCTCTGACATGAACTTGGCTGCCTACTCTTTGATTACTTCCCCCTGGTGGTGTGGCCTTGCCAAAACAAAAAGGAAGAGGATCTAGGGAGTCCTGATGAGACTTGATAAGCTAGGGTCAGATGGTAGGGGAGGAGGTCTCCCCTTTTCAATGGACTAGAGGAAAGGGATGGGAGGGGGGAGGAGGTATGTAGGGTGGGGCCGAGAGGAAATGAGGGAGTTGGTTACAATCTGGATATAAAATGAATAAATTGTAGAAAATAATTAATTAAAAACCGACAAAGATGTTCTGTAATCCAGTTTGAAAATCTTTATAAAGTCCTCTACACTAAGGAGTGGATTCATTATACTTTGACACATTTAGTATTTAGTGTCAGAGTATACTAATGACACTAACTGTGACCACAGAGCAAGAATTCTGTGTGTTCCCTTTAACCAAATATCCAGTTTACTAAGCTGTGAAACTCAGTGTTCACTCAGGCACCCCATGCAAGATTCCTTAACTATAAAGGGAAGCAGGATGTAAGGAAGAAGGCATATGGTAGTAGTAATAATAATAATAATAAAATCATGGTATTGATTGCTCCAGCCAATTAATTACAAATGACACTGGACCCTGGATCCACTGGTAAAGGACAAGAGGGAAATCCATCTAATTAACCTGCTGGCACTAAAATTTGCGAAAGATAATAAAGCCAGTACTCCCGGCCAGTTACGTTTGTAATTGGCAGAAGCAAGATTTTAAGCCTGATACCTAGGGCTAAAGACCTTCCACTACATCAAGTTGCCTCATGAAGTCAAAATGTCTTCTCTGTGTACTGATTGCAAGTCAAATGAGAATTTGAAAGGTCCTCTCCACCAAACATTCAGTGGTTCTGAATGACAAATAACATATTAATATTGTTTTCTCTTTGGTCCCACATAATATGTTGATGAAAGGTATAGGAATAGTGTGAGGTGATCTATGCTTATAGAATTTTTAATGTCATCAAGCTCCTTCCTAAACAGCATAAATCACAGAGTTCATCTGCCGTTTGAACTCCCAAGTGAAATCAATTTTGAGGCCCTTGTAATTTAAGATGTAAAGACTTCACTTAAAGAGCTGTGAAGTATGGTACAAGGAGGGCCTGGGAGAAGCAAAGCCTTAACATTCTTAAAGAGTGAAAGTAGATGTGTTCAATTCACGCAACCTTATAGTTGAGGACAAAAGAGTGCTGTATGTATTAATCACCAGAAATACTGAAGAATCAGGAAAGTGTGTGCTGAAGGACTAGAAAAGAAGTACTCTTTTATAACCTGCAGAGAGTCTACAGGGAGCTTCCAAACATTTTCCATATTACAATCAACCGACAATTTGAACAGAAACAGAAGTTGGTGAGGTGTGCAGTCACAAATGATACATTGTTTGAATAGTTGCTGTTCATATTATGGACTTCTATATGCTCATTAAAAGAAAAGTGAAAATGAATCACAGGAGCAAACATTTAAAATCAATCACCTGGTTGGAAGATGTAAATCGATGATAAATGATTCAAACTTTGCTTTAAATGTTTGTATATATGAGTGTCAATGCATTTTCCAAAAAGTTTACTTACTGATGATGAGACTGTGTGTGAATTTTTTAAATTCTTTTTATTTAAGAGGGTTTTGTAAGTTTTCTATCAAAAGATAGTCTTTTGTTTATCTAAATATATATTAACTGGAGCATTGAAATATATAGTAAGAAGTGGGAAATAGTAAGAGCTGGAGGGGACAGGAACTCCACAAGCAGAGCAACAGAACAAGATAATTTGAACACAGGGAACTTCCCAGAGACTCATACTCCAACCAAGGACTATTCGTGGAGATAACCTAGAACTCCTGCACAGGTGTAGCCCATGGCAGTTCAGTGTCCAAGTGAGTTACATAGTAATGGGAAGAGGGACTGCCTCTGACATAATCTGATTGGCCTGCTCGTTGATCACTTCCCCCTGAGGGGGGAGCAGCCGTACCAGGCCACAGTAGAGGACAATGCAGCCACTCCTGATGAGATCTGATAGACTAAGATCAGAAAGAAGAGGAGAACCTCCCCTATCAGTGGACTTGGGGAGTGGCATGCATGCAGAAAGGGGAGGGAGGGTGGGATCGGGAGGGGAGGAGGGAGGGGCTTATGGGGGGATACAAAATGAATAAAGTGTAATTAATAAAAAAATTAAAAAAAAAGAAAACATACTATTCTGTACTTCAATGCTAAACTAACTGTACTTTCAGCTAATCAAAAATCCTAAACAAAAATAAAGCATTTTCTTATAATATTAACTTGCTCAGGGAGGCTAGGTCATTTCTGTCCTGCCAACCTGAAGGAGAAATTTGTTTTTTGATAATTATTTTAATTATCTTTCCTAGGTCAAACCTGGAGACCTACCACCAAATACATACATATATATATATATATGTATGTGATGTATGTGTAAACTTACATCTAAAAAAGCAAGATTGAGGCCAAGTGCTTTAATCTCAGCACTCAGGAGGCAGAGGCAAGCAGATCTACATGAGTTCAAGGCCAGCCTGGTCTACAGAGTAAGTTCCAAAACAGCCAGAGCACACAGAGACCTCATCTCAAAAAAAAAAAAAAAAAAAAGATTGAAATAAATATTTATTCAATAAGTACATGTGGGATTCTGAGAACTGTAAATGTAAATTGTTTGCTAAAACTGTTTGTATTTGCTAAAACTGTATTTTTAGTGCTTTTTAAAAAAGTCAAGTACAGCACAGCCAACCAATAATTGTGCAATAATACTCAGAGAAAGATGGTAGCACAGGTCAAGGTTGTTTGAAGTTCTTTTTCCTTTGGGCATTTTTTTTAAATAGGAAGATAAATTTTAACTCATCAAAAAGAAAGAAAGAAAATAAAAAGAAAAAAGAAAAACTGTGCCTTAGCTCACTGTTATATTAATAGAATGACTTTAAATCATGCTGAAATGTAACCTTCAAAAATTAATTTACCAGCACAGAAGGCATTACAATATCTACCTCATATTGATTATCATAGTTAATTTTCACAGATATCTTGCAAAACAGATATGAATATCACCTTTAGAGATAAGGCAATGTGGACTCAACAAGTTTAAATAATTTGAGCAAAATCACACAGAAAATCCCAGCACTCAGGAGGCAGAGGCAGGCGGATTTCTATGAGTTTAAGGCCAGCCTGGTTTACAAAGTGAGTTCTAAGACAGCCCAGGCTACACAGAGAAATTCTTTCTTAAAAAACAAACCAAAAAATCGCAAAGAGAAATAAGTCCAGAATTTGAGCATTTCACTCTGCTCCCGGGCTTTTATTCTATCTGTTCAATGTGAACACTCAAATCATACTTTGGGGGCTAGAGTCTATAATATGATGTGTTTGTCTTTTCTCATGTCTTGCTGTCTCACTTAGTGTTCTATTGCTATGAAGAGACACTGTGACCAAGGAATCTCTCTAAAGTAAAGTATTTAACTGAGGCCTTTCTCTCGTATTTGGAGGATTATAGTCTATTATCATCATAGTGAGGAGAATAAAGACATGCAGGTAGGCATGGTGTTGGAGAAGTTATATCCTAAACCCAAATTAGTAAGCAGAGAGAGAAAGAGAGAAAGATCCTCAGCTTAGTGTGGGCTTTTGAAGCCTCAAATATAATACACAACTATTCACTTCTTTCAAGACCATACCTACTCTAACAAGGACATACCTCCTAGTCCTTCTAATCTTTTCAAACATTTCCACTCCTTCTTGACTAGTATTCAAATATATGATTCTATTGGAGCCATTCTTATTCAAACCACCACACTTAACTTTGGAGCACTTTTGAAAACATATCTCCACATATATAATGCTGTCTTATGAAGTTATTCAAAGTTATAATTCTAAAAAAAAGGGAAGGCGGCTTTAGTTATTTGAGAAAAAACCCCGAATACAAAGTTTTGCTATTTCCTATAGTTTTGAATATATAAATGGCCCCATACTCCTTCCTAGCTTGCTACACAAAGTCACCCTGTGGTAAACTTCACAGGAACGCTCTATGTCTCCAAATATAATTTTTAAATTCTTTACCCCAGTATTCTACCTATTCCCATGATGTTTATTCTTATCAATAACAGTTGTTTGTATCTTGCTAATAGACTCAAAACTATATGTTCCCTTGTAAGTCGTATATATCCAAAGCAACTGTCCTCCATCACTGTCTTGAAGAGCCTCCGTGTTGCTGTGAGGGGATGAGTGGTAGAGAGATGAAATCCCTGCCTGATGTGACCTGATAGCACTTCCTCAGTGCCTCCCACACTTAGATCACTAGATCATGTTCTCACTCATGGGATTCGCTCACATAGCCACTTCAACTATCAAACTGCTTATCACCTGGTATAGTTCAGACAGGTACTGGGTGAGGTTCCTCATGGAACCAGAATCAACCTTCCCTTGATACACCGACCTATCTACAAACAAGCTTTTTACCTACTCAGATACTTATATATTCTTCATCAAACATGAGCATTTTGTTGACATCTCACTTGGTTTAAATTTCTCCCGAGTCAGTCCTCAGGGTTTAATAACCATTAAAATAAGAAGTAAAACTTTCCTTCTGTGCTTTTATGAATAAAATCAGTGGCATAGACTGAGTGACTCCAACATTTTCCTCACAGTCTTGAAAGCTGAAAGTCCAAGTTTGGGGTGACAACATAGCTATATTTTGTAAGACCCCTTTCGCAGTTTTATAGTTTGTGGTGTCCTCACATGGCAAAGAAGAAAAGGAAATGAGTTGTTCTTACAAGACAGTAATCCCTTTCTAGACTACTCTGTCCTGAAGGTTTAATTACTTTTCAAAGGTCCTATCTTCAAATATTATTACATAGGATGTCAGAGTTATATAAATTTTGGGTAGACACAAACATTCAACCTATAGGTATATAATATGCAATTTATAAATATAGATGTGCAAATGTCATAGAAAAGCAGACTCAAAGTAAATGGTTGCATTTGAGTGGTGGTCAAAACCAAAGCATGAAGTCATGAAGGTCTAATTTGGCACAACTCCAAAGGGAACTAGTTCTCTAGACTCCACTGTGCCTGGTACCCACTGTTGTTAGCTTATCCAGTAATTCTTGTAGTAGTAGTTATCCTTCAAGAGTATGGATGACAGGTGATTTTTTTTTTTATCTGCTTAAAGACAGGAATGTTTCACCAATAACTTTATCTATGGTATTGGTATAGTGTTCTTTCAGAATGTATACAATTTACCTTGTTCATTCAAATGCTGATTTCTCTCCCTCACTGTCTGGTTTCAATTCAGGCATTGCATTGTGATGCTTACGCTAAGCACCACCTGTCTCAAGTTTGTGTAAACATGCCACCGTTTGTTCTCTATATTGTCAATTAAAAAACAACCAGCCACAATGCTGAGCAATGGAGAGGGTGGGACATCCTGGTCCGGAGTGGGAAGAAGAGGAAGGAAGGAGAAGAGGAGAAGAGAGAATCCAGAGGAGAGGACTTGGAACCACTTGGAGAGATGGGACCAGACCTAAGAAATGACTAAGAGCAAGTATAATGGGTGACATCTGAATGGTAGGAAACTATGTGGGCTTGAGGTTTAGGATGGAGTAACTATTGCCCAGCATTGTGCTCTAGGTTAATTATATAATTCTCAGTCTCTGTGTGGTGATTTTAGTATATAGCTGGTTTAGGAATAACTGCAGCTTTACTAAAACAATATATCTATAATAAATATTAATAATGATAACATTATGGTTTGGTTTCTACTCTCTTATGAAACAACTGTAAGTTTTATTCATAAAGAACAAATCACCTGAGAAACTCAGGTAGGCTTTGTGGGTAGCAAGAAACAACCTCTGGCTATCATGGCTATACTGGTATCTAGTGTTTAAAAACTCCCGTATCAGTGGACTTGGGGAGGGGCATGCGTGAAAAAGGGGGAGGGAGAATGTGGTCTGGAGGGGAGGACAGAGGGTCTTATGGGGGGAGACAAAGTGAATAAAGTGTAATTAATAAAAAAATGTATATATATATGTATATATATATGTATATATATATACTAAACCATTTTAAAAATAAATAAATAAATAAATAAACCACAATACCAACCATGCCCTAATATTCAAATTAACATAAATGGTGATTATTTAAATGTATAATATGTGGATTTTAAAGTCACTGATGTGTGCTCTTAAGTTCATAGTGAACACTCTCACATCTGTAAGAGTTTTTTGGTTTGTCTGTTCTTCTGCTCCTTAATAAAATTTTCATCTTTGTAAAAAAAAAAAAACTAGTCCTAATTATTGGCCATACCACACAGAGAGCATTTCAAATTTATCCCAAGACAGTTAGAGACAGGATATTTTTAAAAATCAAACTGATAAAGAAGAAATGAATAGTTTAAAAATGAGTTATAAACTTTGAACTACAAGGAGTGGCAAACTAGATTTAAGGTAACAGTCCAATTCCTCATGGGTTTATGCCAAGAGAGAGAAGTATGGGTACGAAAGAAAATAACAGCAGGAAAAAAACAGCAGGAAAAACAACCAGGGATGGATTTGATACCCAAGGTCTTCCCACGGAGGCCTGGGTGTGGAGTGAAGAGGGAGAAGAGATTCTTCCTGGGAGAGGAAGAATCCCAAAACACTAAATAGTATATAGACACGTAGTTCTCATTAATTTATTTGAAGAAATAAGCGACCTGTAACTAGTTACTATCATTCCTTCCTTATGTCTCTCTGTATTTTATGTTATCTTTAATGGGTATTATTATTATTCTTAAATTAAATTTTATATTGTTTATTAATAAAATAAAGCGTATTCATTAGAATAATATACGCTTACCTATGAATTTGTTTTGTCACAAACTACTAGTTTAAATGTACTAATGCTTTCAGGCTAAAAAAATATCATATGGAAAGTTTTTTCCCTGCAGCTGAAGAAGAGAGAATTTATCACTATATGCAGAGAAAGATAAACGGGAACTCCACAAAACCAATACTGCCAAGGGGCCAGCAGCCAAACATGTTAACATTGACTCGTCTGCTACAAACACGACTGAGACAGGGAACTAATCATTAAACATCATTCTG